CCGCGCCCCTCTCCGTGGACTGCGTCCCTCGGGAGACGCCGGCCTGTTGTTTTCTTCGAAAGGGTTCGACGGAGCCGAGGCCCGCACTAGGCCCGAGTCGGGGCAGCGCGCAGGGCGGGGGTCTCCGTTTCGGTTTCCCGCTGGATGGAAGACCGACTCGGGCTTTCGGGGTGAGGGCGAGGGCGGTGGTGGGCGCGCTCCGCCCGGCTTCAGCAGCGCGTTTTCCTCCTCCCTGCGGCCAGTGCGTCCCGAGCTTGGTTTGCTGTGGGTCCCTGCGCCCTCTCCAGGGAACCTCCGTGTAAAACGCGCTTCCCGAATCTTCACCAGGAGTCCCCTGTTAGAGGAATGTGCGTCCATTGTGTTGTTTTTTGAACACTTCACAAAAAGCTGGGTGGGTTCTTAAATTGGTGCCTTTGTTAACTGGCCAAGGCTCAGGAGTACCTTCGTGTGTCCTTTTTTTCTTGATTTCTGGCCTCTTAGCTGTATTTCTTGGCCAGGAACCACCGGGCTTCAGGACTCCGGAAGGGCCACGCCAAGATGCACCAAGGGGAACCTCACAGGGCCCAACAAAGCTCTGCCCTGGTGGTTGATCCTCATGCTCATCTGTAGGATGTGGACAAGCTCTGGAGCAGCCGGGCCTGAAGAGGGACCGCTTTCTGTTCTGGACTCTGGGTGCAGTGTGGAGAGTGAGGCACAGGGTTCAGGAAATCCTCGTGGAGCAGCAGGAGGCCTCTGGCGCCCCTGAGGCGTGCATCTGAGAGACACCAGTGCCTGGGTTTTGTCCTAGGTGCTGAGTGCTGCGTCTGGCACAGTGAGAGCGGAAGCACAGGCACAAGCTGCATTTGTTTGTGAAGGATTAGGTGCTCTTGTTTTGTTCTAAAACACACAGTTTCCTCTTTCTGAGTGAGATTCCTGTTTATGTGCATCTTGGTGTGGTGCTTCCGGAGGCCTGAAGCCCTGGAAGCATTTTTAGCCAACTGAGTTGTTTTTAGAGCTGTTTTGGCTTAGTTTTCACTTATCAGGACAGGGCGTCTTTTAAAATCTGGGGAAAAAATGTCATCAACTCACATTTTCCATGATTTTGAGGCTGGCAATGATGGAGGTCTCTGTGGTGAGATTTCTATTTTGTGTGGTGAGTTGGACTAGGTGGCCTTAAAAATCTTTTGAAATCCAATTTTTTGACTTGTCAGAAGTCACCAGAGGGGTTTTAGCTTTTTTAATTGTTTAAATGCAAATCACAAAAGAGAGCATGAGTGGCCCTGCTCGGGTCCCTCCTCCAGGGAGCTGTGAAGATTGGGTGGGCGTCTCATCAGGAGCCTCCTGGCCACTTCTCTAATTGATGCCTCGCTTTCAGAAACACACCTCAAGTCCTGGCCTCAGTGGACTTCTTCTGCGAGTGTAGGTTTTGTGTTTTCTACAAAGGATTCCGGGGCAAGGGAGGAATGAATGTTCCCGATCTTAAAACAGGGGAAGGCCGCTCCCTGCTGTTGGCAGGCCCATCTCCCTGAGCGGCTCTCGGCTGTATTTCTTGGCCAGAACCCTCTTTTCTCCATAACCTGGAGTCAAAGGGACCTTTGTCCAGCCGCTGGCACTGAGTGAGCAGGTTGCCTGCAGCCTCTCTCCAGGTACCGTGTATGTTGCTCTAACTTCCAGAGAAGCCGGCGAGCACAGCTTCCAGAGGGATAGTTGCTTTCACACACGGGGAAGGGGAGTGAGTCTGCTTTCAGAGTCCACTTGAGAGAAGCAGAGCAGCAAATGTGCAGGGGAAAGAACTTGCAGCCGCAGGCCATGGAAAACAGTGGTGAAAATTCACCCCCACTCACCCTTTTTGGCAAAAAAGTAACATTTGGATAGAGTCCCCTAAGGGACCTGGAGACCAGGTGTCACTCTCCATCCTGAAGGGAAGAACCAGAAACAGATTTTCGGCAGAACTACTTTCTCTTGCCAGTGTTTTGAGTTTTACAAGGGCTGGAATCTTACTGACCTCCCGAGTCTCTTCAGTTCTGTCTGAATGTCGAGGCCAGTTCAAATCTAACATTTAACCTTGTGGTTTATCCTCTTGATGAAACAAGGTGGGATCCTTTGGCACATCCCTGTGGATGCCGAGGGGTGCTTGGTGGGGGGGCAAATCCCCGCTGAGCCTCCTGGCCCTTTCCTTGCTCCTGCTCCCCCTGGGGAGGCGAGTTCTGGGGTTTTTGCGCTGGTAGGAGGAGTGTGGAGTGTCATGCATTCTCTCCATGGAGGGTGGTGTCATGGGTGAGTTAGAAGCTGTCTAACTCGATCGTCTGGGCCCAGTGAAGCCTGGTGGCAGAGCCCCAGATACCTCACCTTGGAGCCAGAGGGAGTTGAAGACGTGGACTCCTGGAGGAGGAGGGGTGTCCCCAGCATGGGCACAGGTGGCTCCTCTGTCAGGTCCCAGTGTGGGCTTCCTGCTGTGTGTCCCAGGCCAGCTGTGCCTCTGCAGGTATGTTGCTGCAAGTTTCTGTGAGTGCTCTGTGGTGCCGTCACCAGCCCAGTTTCAGTCATGTGACTGCCTGGGAGTGGGAAGAGGACCCTCCTGATGACATCAACTTAATCTTCCCGAGTGACAATTAAGCCATTTGTAGTAGTACCTGCCAAACCGGGGGCCTTTGCTCTTTCCTTTCAAGCTTCTGGTTTGACAGGTTGAAAGCAGGTCCCTAAGCAGAGGGAATCAAGACCCAGGGCCTGGCCCGCCTAGAGATCCCTGCAGCCTGTGCCTGCCTACATGAGGGGTGGAAGTGTGGGAGGCACCCTCACTGCTGTTTTGGGTGGAGTCCCTGGCCTCACAGGGGAGCACTGTGTGGATACACTCAGCTCCTGCTGCCCTGCCGTGGTCTGGTCTCTGGTGGCAGCTGCCTGTGTCCAGCTGTGAAGGGGCTTGCCCTCTTGCTTCAGGAGAAGGGTTGGGAGCTGCTCGGAGGCCCTGACTCAGCTGAGTTTTTCGGGAACCTTGACTTCCCCTGAACTTTGCTCTGGAAGGGGACCAATCACGATGGCATAGCGGCAGGCAGGACCAGCAGGGCATTGACGATCTGTCCCCCACCCTGTGACTACAACAACGTCTACGGTTGTATATTGAGAGCGGAACGTTGCAGATGAGTCCTGGTGAGGGTGGCGGCCTTTGCACTCCAAGTCCCAGCGCCTCAGGAGCAGCAGCTGCTGCAGCTGGGCTGAGGGACCAAGGGGAGGGGCCCTGTCTGGTGGATCTCATGCCTTTCCAGCTGTGGTCCTGCTGCTGGATGTGGGAGGCTTTGGCTGCACTTGGCTTGGCTGGCTTTGTTGAGACAGGAATCGCTGTCTCTGGAGATGCTCCCCTGAGGCACAGGACACTCCTGGCAGCTACTGGAGAGGAGACTGGTCTGAGGGTGTGCAGCCCCGAGGAGAGCTGGACCGAGGCCCTTCTGTAGCTGTGGGCACATGGGATCCTGTCTCTCCTGCCTTCCTAGACACAGACTAATGCCGCTTCTAATTTTTGTGCTTGCTGTGACTTTGGTGGGTCCTCGTGTGCATCTGTGTCACTGTGTTTGAATTCCAGGTTGTGGAGGCCTCCTCGCTAAGCTGGGGCACCAGGGTGAAGGGCTTCATCGCGTGTTTTGCTGTCGGGATTCTCTGCTCCCTGCTGGTAAGATTCCCCTGAACCTCCTTTGCTGAGTCCCCCTTCCACTCGCCTCCTTTTCTCTTTTATTCTCTCAAATTTGTGGCAAGAGAGCAGGGGTGGGGGCAGGAAGGGTGCTCAGGGCTGTGGTGGGAGAGGCCACTCTGACACAGTGCTGTGCTTTTACTTCCAGGGGACTCTGCTGCTGTGGGTGCCCAAGAAGGGACTAACCCTCTTCGCGGTCTTTTACACCTTTGGTAACATCGCATCCATTGGGAGGTAACGACTGTTTAATTTAACCTTAATCCATCGTTAGATGGGAAAACGGGTGTGGATGGTGCTCGGGGAGGTGACGGGGTGACGGGGAGGTGACGGGGTGCTCCAGGAGTTCTAAGGGTTTGAAGAGGTGGTTGGAGGGTATTGCGTTCACAGCCTGCTGGTCCAGAACACCTGTCTCCATACACCTCCCAAGCACCCTGGGAAAGCAGGAGACGCGTCAGTCCTGGGTTGTGCACCAGGGAACTGGCAAGCTGGGCTTGAGTGGCTTCTCCAAGTCCCCTTCCACCGCCTCCTTTTCTGTGGCTAAGAGAGCAGGGCTGGGGGCATGAAGGCTGCTCAGGGCCGTGCTCCCACTGCAGACCGTCCCCGGCCGCAGGTGAAGCGGGTTGTCCTGTGGTGCCAGGCCATCCCAGGCCCGGGTGTCAGCGCACGCAGCAGGGTGGCTGGAGGGGGCAGAGCTCAGCACGCTAAAGGTCCACCCTGCTAAAGGTCCACCCTGCTGAAGGTCCACCGCACCTGGGCTGCCTCCCAGCTGGCAGCGTGGGCCTGGCCTCTGCCGGAATGGCCCGCAGGAGCCTGAACCTGGACATCTTTCCTGCCCTTCCTTTGTGTCTCCGTAAATGGAGTCCCAGGGTCCAAGTTCCTGGCCCCAGGCTCGGTGTGACCTCTCTTACCTGTCTCCTTCCTCTGTCCCCAGGGCCACTTGTCCCCAGTGGTTGACTTCTGTTCTCCCTGGGTTAGCCTCTCTGAGGCTGCAGTGACAGGTACAGGTTGGTCCTGGCCCAGTGGAGCCCGTGGGTCAGCCAGTCAGACGCACATAGTAGGCTGATGTCAATGCAGGATGAGGAAGGGGACACCTGGGGAGGGACCACTGGTCCCACCTGGTCAGGGTTAGGGGGCCTCTGGGCGCGGGTGGTGTCTGAGCTGGCCTGAGCTCTGGCCATGCCCTGTCACCTGGGCTGCTGCCACACGCCTCTGCTGACTTCCCTGCCGCCTTGATGGCCTGGGGAGCCATTCCTCTGCCGTCCCTCCAGTGGCTGCCTGTCCCTCTACTCAGGGATACAAACTCCTCAGCTTGCGTCTCCACGTGCGTGCCCTGCCCCACCCCAGCTAGGCTCACTCCCTCGGTTCCTCTGTCCTCGTTGTGCCTCTGTGGGGGCTGTCTCCTCTGCCTGGGTTGCTGCCCGTCCCTGCCGCCCCGGGTTTGGGGGTACTTGTCCACTTGTTACGACCTGGCCCCACGTTCCCTCTTCTGCAAGACCTTTCCCAATTCCCTCTTGCCCAGAATGGTCGGCCTCCTCTGGACTCTGGCTATGCCGTCTGTGCTTACAGCTGTCCGTCACCCCAACTTGTCGCTGTCAGCCACTTGTCAAGGGCTGTGCCTGTGGCTCCCTGGTCCCCCGCTGTGCCAGACCCCGCGCTGTGTGCAGTAGGAAAAGGTGGAATGATGGCTCTGGGCACCTCCCTGAAGCTTGGTGTACTGATGCTCTGACAGGACGGACGTTCTGGCCTGAGAGGGTCGCCGTTGCCGCTAAAGCCTTCTCAGACACTGACCGTCCTTAGGCGGCCGTGCTTTGGCGGACAGTGTGGTCTCACTGGGCGTGGGTACGTGGTATGTTGCTTACTCCAGAAGGGCGTCCCGACAGACCTTGACGGGGAGGACCCTTCGTGGCACTGACGGGGAATAGGGAACGAATGGTGATTCCTGGCTGCTGCCCGGGTTTGTGGCTTTGCCTACGATCTCTGCTGTCTTCTGTGTCTGCTGCGGGTGTTTAGGACCCGCCTGGCCGTGGCTTCCTACAGTGTGCTTTTGAGAGGTGCCCTGTGGGCTTACACCCCGAGCCGAGAGCACAGCCTGCAGTTCAGGGTGCAGCTGCACGGCACCCAGAGAGGCGGACTGACTTTTGGGAGTTCTTGTTTTGATTGAAGGCTCAGTAGCTGATGCCATCTGCTGGTTGGCTTGTGTCCAGGACTAGCTGTCCTGAGCTCCCGCTGTAGTGACACCCTGTAGGACTCAGGAAATGTGGCACTTGGGGTGTTGGGTGGGAGGGTCTGCTTCGTGTGAGTCACTCCGCCTCCCAAGCTCTCAGGTTCTGGTCACCTGGAAAGCATGCTTGGTGTCCCCAGCATACCTGGGGGTGAATGCCAGCTCCTTTGGTTCCAAGCTGTGTGATCTTAGATAAACAACTTAACCTTTCTGAGCTTTATTTTTCACATCACTAAAATAAGTGTAATAATATGAACTCAAGGGTTTTGAGGGAATGAAAGAAAAAGTGTGTATTATCATCTGGTATTTAGCAGACATTCAACAAGGGACAGATGACATCATCATTGAAATGATTCCCTGGAGGTTATGGAAGAAAATGCTCTCGTTTTGACCAAGGAGGGCCTGTTCTGAGCCTCTTGGCTTGTCGGTTTCAAGGGGAGGTTGTCAAGGCCATCTAAGGGGGGCTTGTCTAACCTAGGAGTGTGAGTGTGGCTCTAGGGACAGACCCACACCCACAGCCAGCTCTCTCCTTCACTGGTCAAGTGGCCTTGGATGTGAAGCCCTGGCCTTCAGTGTCCCCCTGTGCAGGGTGAGTGTGGTGACTGTGGGTTGGCGGATTGAGTGAGAGCCACGCCCAGGGGCCAGCACGGAGCTTTCCAGCGTCATCCGCCCTCCTGCTCTTGCTGCCCCAGGAGGTCTCGGGAGGTGACTCCCTGTGCCTGCCGCGGTGCTGTTCTGCTCTGAGCGGCTCACGTGTGTCTTTGCCTCCTAGTACCATCTTCCTCATGGGGCCCCTGAAGCAGCTGAAGCGCATGTTCGAGCCAACGCGTCTGATCGCAACCATCCTGGTGCTGGTAAGTGCTGCGATTTTGCTGGACTTCTCACGTGGGCATCTTTATTTTGGCTGCATGGAATGGTTTTCTTCTTACACCTGAGGACCCCCTCACTGCCCCCTGCCCTCCTCCAACTTAACACTACGCAGTCCCGTAACCACACCGCAGGAGGGTGGCCTTCATCTTCTAGTGAGTGCCAGGCCCGCCTTCCCAGCGTGCATCAGTTGGCGCCCAGGTACTGCAGTTCCACAAAGCACCTGTAGAGGGTGCTGCTTGTCACACTGGCCCCACCCTGGGGCTGTCAGAGCCCCACTGGCAGAGCCTTAGGGAGTGGCTGCACAGCACCTACCGTGGGTGGTGACGTCTTCTAGGATGGTGTCTGACTTTGGCGTCATCCATACTGTCCCATCAGGCTTCCTGAAGTGAAGTGGGCTGTCTTGGCCTGTCGTCCTTGTGCCCTGCTCTGGCAGAGCTGCCTGCAGTTTGTCATTGCTTCCTGTCCCCTCCACCTGGAATTCCTCTCTCTTGGATCTAGTTTTCTGTGTGGCTGACAAAAATCACCCCAGACCTACCCTCTGGCCACATTAGGACCTTGATCGACAGACTTTTGTTTTTAGTTTCATTTGTATGCATTTCACTTATTCAAATAGGTAAGTGCTCTGAGGCCCGGGATGCATTTGCTATTTGGTCCCTTCGGGGCACCAGGCACATTGCTGGACACAGAACGTGGTTAGGACACCTTGTCACAGATGTGAGGTGAAAGCCATGGCTGGTGGCTCAGCCTCTATGGAAAGAGCTCTCTAAGGTACCAGGGAGAGTGCCAGGTGACATGTACAAGGGAGCTGGCTTGCTGATGCGATGGGCATCTCCTGATGACCTTAGTCGTCGCGCCCTTTCTGCTCCCGGGGCGACTTGGGGAAGGGTGAGAATAGAGTCTTTCTGTGAAGCGCACTTGGGGTGTTTGGGGAGCAGACGATGGTGCGTTGGTGGGCCAGAATGTGCCTTTGGTGTGCTGGGGGCAGATCCCGGGGAGACGTCCACGGGTCAGGGCATCTTTCTCTTTGTGACCTGTGCAGATCCTGCTGGGAGACTTGGTTTCCCGGGTCTGACTGTGCCAGGTGTGGATGCTCAGCAGGTTGAGTGCTTTGAGGTGAGGGGTGTGTGTGGTGGCCCTGATGCCCGTGGCCTGACGCCTGCTGGGGCTGGTCAGGAGCCCCGTCTTCACGGGGTTTCTCTGGCCGTGGGTCCTGGTCTTGATCACAGTGTCTCTCTCTCCCTGCAGCTGTGCTTCGCCCTCACCCTGTGTTCTGCCTTTTGGGTAAGTGTGGCCTGGACTTCCCGGAACCCCTTGGCTTTCACCCCGCCTCGTGCTTTTCTGTGACCTTCTTGTTTTCCTTTCAGTGGCACAACAAGGGACTGGCGCTCATCTTCTGCATCCTGCAGTCCTTGTCCTTGACGTGGTGAGTAGCCTTTTAGCAGTGCTCTCCCACGCAGACCCCTGACTGATGCTGCTCCAGGAGGCGAGGCCACGTGTTGGGGGAGGCTGGGAGTGCAGAAGGAAGAATTCTCAGTGAGGCCCGGGCTCCAGAGCAGAAGCCTCCGCCCGCCCACCGCCAGTAGATGGCGGCAGAGGTCCCGAGTGGCCCGAGGCTGTCCACTGAGCTCTGGGCTGATTGTGATGTACAAATGTTATTAAGCCACTCATGTCCCCTAAGTACAAGGACAATGAAAGTATCTGAGGGCTGGTCACAAGAGGCTCTGAGTCAAATAGAAGAAAAGGAAAGTGGTGAGAGAATGAGTAAGTGACACACTTGTGATGGAATGAATCATGTACACAAGGACAAAGAGGGAATTGTCAGCGGGAGCCGAGGAGCAGCGGCTGACGAAATGGAAAACCGGGAGGCTGTGGGTGGCAGGGTCAGTGTAGGCCCTGGGGCCTGCCGCTTTTGGAAGTTGAGTTGAAGACTGGGAGATGTACCAAGGGCCGAGCACAGTAGAAGGGCCACTGGAGGCGTGGTTTAAAACCAGAGAGGCGCTGTGGGTTCACGGCTCCTCCCACCCACACACCATCAGAGTGAGGGGAGGCGGCCCGGGTGGGCTCTGTCGTCCTGAGATGCTCCTGGGATGCATTCAGGGATGAAATCTGCATGTCAGGTTCACTGTAGGTAGCTGATCTCTTGGGAAGAATGTTCACCATAGTGAACGGCAGAGAGAGGACCGGGGGTGTCTTACGGTTCCCCACGATCAGTGAACCACTCGGTAGAAATGGGCCTGGAGACTGAACCCAGCCCCCGTCCCCCTTCTGTGATGTGGACTTCTGAATAAATATGCTTCCCACTGCCTTTGGAAGCACCATGTTCATGAGTGATTGTGCTCGTGTGCATGGACAGGGCGAGGTGTGCATGGACAGGGCGAGGTGTGCAGCAGAGTGCCATCTGATTTTAATGTGACACTTTTGGCTCGTGGGTGCTGAAGGGCCTGGTTTGCTGGCTCATGTTTACATTTTGGTTTTATTCTGGGTGCAGAAACCGGTAGCCATGTACACACATTCCTTTTGCCTTGAACTTTTGCTTGTGAAGTCACTTTCCAAGGGCAGCAGTCACATGGCTCAGTGAATGACGTGACCCGACACACACAGCTGGTCGGGTAGGGCTGCTCAGCCTTCTGCGCGGCTCCCTTCCCTGCTGTGGCCAGGCTAACTGGCCCTGCCAAGATGACTTGGGACTTGAACAATCATAGCCTGATGCATGCTCATCCAGGGAGTAGGGGGGCTCTTTACTTTGCTCTTTCCTGTTTCTTTTTAATTATAGGAGCACACCAGACAGTCTATCTCAGTTGGGTCAAAGTTAACATTCTTTTGAGGGTTTATAAAATTTTAGAGGATAGCTGTTGTGGATGTTATCTGAAGTTCTTCTAGAACAGGGCGTCCGTGCCACCTGGGTGTCTGGAATCTGTGTCTTTTAGGTGCTCACTGCTGGCTCATTTGATTAAAGTAGCACCCCAGTGAGGCTGAGGTCGGAGGGCTCATCTGCACAGGGTCTTCTGCCCCCTCTGTGGCCCCCAGCTCTGGCTTGGTGTGTGTGCACACGTGCATGTGTGTTCTCTCCCGGGCCACGGGGTGGAGCGGTCTGGGGAGGGCATGTTGGTGCTCCTGGCACTCGGGAGCACTGTGCATTCCGTCTGACCTTTGTCTCCTGACCTTTGCTCTCCGTTGCAGGTACAGCCTTTCCTTCATACCATTTGCAAGGTAAGACTAATGGTGTATTTGGAAATATAACTTCTGTCATTTGTGAACAATGATATGTTTGTGTAGGGCCTTAAAAGATTAATTACAGGGAGTACATGCTATTTTATTTATCTTTATTAAAATTCTTTGAGCCAAATAAGCAAAGGCTTATATCTGTTTCATAGATTAGTAAGTCAGGGCCACCCTCCACCCACCCCAATTATACCCCAATGAGGTGCTCCCAGCCCGCCGGCTGCTGGTTGGGTGAGCTTCCCACTGTAATATGAAATGTGTGCGTATACGTTATCACCCTTTTAACCTTTAGCTTTGAGTAGGCTCTTCTGTTTGTTTATTTATTATATATAGAAAAGGAATGCATTACAATTCATACTACACATATAGAGCACAATTTTTCATATTTCTGGTTGTATACACAGTGTATTCACACCAATTTGTGTCTTTATACGTGCACTTTGGATTATAATGTCCATCACATTCCACCATCATTAATAACCCATGCCCCCTCCCTTCCCCTCCCGCACCTCTGCCTTATCTAGAGTTCGTCTATTCCTCCCTTGGTCCTGCTCCCTACCCCACTATGAGTCAGCCTCTTTATATCAGAGAAAACATTTGGCATTTGTTTTTGGGGATTGGCTAACTTCACTTAGCACTGTCTTCTCCAGCTCCATCCATTTACCTGCAAATGCCGTGATTTTGTTCTCTTTTATTGCTGAATAATATTCCATTGTGTAGATGTGCCACGTTTTCTAGGTTGGTTTTCTAGGGGTGTCTAGGTTGGCTGCACAGTTTAGCTGTTGTGAATTGTGCTGCTATAAACATTGATGTGGCTGTGTCCCTGTAGTATGTCCTTTGGGTATAGTTCTGTTTTGTTAAAGGTGAACACTGATTTAAATCCCTGGGCGGGAGGCGGGGCCTGGAATTGCGCTGTTTCCTTGAGGTGTCCCACTTAGAAGAGAGTTTCCAAGGAGTTGATGAAGGGAGAGCGTGAGCAGAGGCAGGACCAGAGGACCAGGCCTTCTAGCTAGTAGTGCCTTGATAACCAGTGTGGCTGGGCTGGTGCTCCCCAGAGGCCCTTCTGGCCTGGAGGTTCCCCTGAGCCCCAGTGCCTTGAACAAGCCCTTCCTATGGGGCCTCTCAAGACTGGCCTTTGGGATCTTTGCCTCCAACTGTTGTAATGCAGCCACTGATTTCCATTCTCCTCCGTATTACCTGCTCACCGGAGGCCACCTTCTCCCTGCTCGTGTCCTGGGTGAGCTGGGAAGAGGCAGGGCAGCATGGCACCTCCCGCGTCCCAGGTCTTTTGCGGACAGTGGTGTGGAGGAGCTGGGGCGTGACCATTGGGTGAGTCACTAACAAGCCCATCGAGCTAGAGCAGCTGGGGACTTGGCACGTAGACCCCAGGAGCGTAATGGTGGTGAGATGCTCCAGGCGACTTGGCAGTTTTGGGGGCCATGGCTTGTCTGATGAGCGTGGGCAGGGATGCCCTGGGTGCTAGGTCTGTAGTGGAGATGGCCAGAGCCCACCAGGTCTGAGGTCCAAGCCGTGTCCACCTGGGGCCGGGAGCAGCTCCCTCGTTGGCAGACCCCAGTGCACAATGAAGGCTTGGGCACCTAACTCGGACACGATTAAGGATGTCACGAGGTGACAAGAGGGCACCCACGAGCCTGGACTCTCCTGGTTCGGGGCCCAGTTGTGCAGGTCTCACCGTGAAGCTGCCTTGCTCGGTGTCTTTCTCGGGCTTCCCACTTGGCCTAGCTTGGCACCTGTGGGCCTTCTGCGTGAGGGTGGGCAGCCCGAGGGCATTCTGTTGGCAGCGGTGAGTTTCCTGTGCGGAGCAGATGAAGCCCCCCAGTGTCGAGGAGAATCACGAGGCTGGATGCCTCTACCCAGTCTCCTCAGAAAGTGCCGTTTACCTGGAAGAGAAGGGTTCCCTGACCTTGTAGTTGGGAAGTATTACAAGCCAGATCCCTGGCGTTGCCCCGCCTTCCAGAGCCCTTGTTTGCCTGTGAGCCGCGTGAGGGGTCCCTGACCTTCTGGGACTTCAGTGGAATGTGTCTTAGGAAGTGCTGCCCACCGTCACCGCCGTGTTGACACACAGTGCCCCCCTCACCTCTCTGCCTCACTGACGGTGTGCAGGTGTGCGTGGTGCAGGTGGGGACGAGGACCTGGTGTGACTGGTGCAGCGAGGTGTGCTGGGTGCAGAGAGCTTGCTGGGCAGACTAGTCGTCTGAGTACCGCTCCTTCCTCGTGCTTTCTGCATGGAATTCCAAGGAGGCGAGCCTGCTGGCAGGTGCTCGGTGCCTGTGGGAGACGCCCTGTGTGAGGCTGCTCCTCAGAGGTGTCCCTGGAAAGGGCTGCTGCTTGCTTGGAAGGAAGCGGGCCCCGGCGACTGACTTGGTGCATTCTGTGATTGCGGCTGATTAAACCGCTTTGATTCCGACAGTCTGCACTTTCCACCTGCCTGTCTTGCTCTGATTACAGTTGCAGCTGTCATTTAACAAATGCCCATTCTGTGCAGTGCCCTGATGTCCACAGAAGGGAGCAGGGAAAGTGGGCTTATCCCCTCTGACGGGTGAGGAATTGAAACTCCAGCAGGACTAGTCACTTGCCCAGCAGAGTCCTTCCAGTGAATGTTGAGCTGCGGTGGGCTGCCAGTAGGGCTGCCCGGTCCAGCGTGCCTCTCAGAGACTCTCAAGGACAGGCGCCCAGGGGGAGTGAGGTCCCGTTCATCTGTGTTCTTTCCTTCCTAGGGATGCTGTGAAGAAGTGTTTTGCCGTGTGTCTTGCGTGAGCTCTGGAAGGCACCGGGCGTGGAAGCTGGTGGACATCTTTGTAAATAGCCCCCAAACCTGTGTCTGTGAGACACGTGCCTTCATCCCACAGTCTCAACCCTTGAGGGTTTGCCTTTGGAAGCGGTCATGCTCCCACCCTGAAGCTGTGGCACAGAGTCAGAGGTGGGTTCCGCACCTCGAGCAGCCGAGTCTTCCTCTCACACCTGTTCCTCTTTGGATGCTGACCCACGGAATTCCCCTAAATAAAAAATCCTGGTTAAACGTCAGCAGATGAGCCCGGGGGAGGCCCTGGAGGGAGGCCGGGACAGAATGGCGGGGCCCACGAGGCCTTTGCAGACTTGTCCCTCCGCCCGGGGCCTGGTGCTGCTGCCTCCCCCAGCATGGACTGGCTTCTGCCCTGGGAACCCAGATGGGTGTTCTGTGCTACCTGGGTCCTGGCGAGCCTGGCCGTGGAGGGGAGTGGGGCCCCTTCTGGCGAGACGCGCTGCTGCCTCCCAGACCTGGGCACTCCTGCTGTTGTGCAGCGCCTGGCTGTGGAACGACTTCTCCTGCGTCTGGTGCAGACTCCTGGTCTCCGGGGTCCCCTGTCCCCCAGCTCGCTTCTGTCCTCACGACTAATAGCACCAGGTGGAGGGAGAGCAGCAGCAGTACAAAGCCTGCCGCGTCCTGTGGACGGGGGCTGGCTGCTTCCTGCTGTATCTTTTCTTGATTATTCCGAGGTGTTTGCTTTTAAGTTGATTTTATTTTCTGTCCGTCCCTGCAGTGGGGCCGGGGCAGAGCGGCTGAGATGAAGACTCCTGCTGGGAGGGCAGGAGGCCGGCATGCCTGCCCAGCCACCCTCACGCGGTCCCTGCATTGGCGCTCAGCAGTGCTGGGGCACTGGGAGGACACGGGGCTGTAGGTGATCAGGCCTGGCTCACACCCAGCCACGTGCAGTGTGCTGCCATGTTGGTGGGGCTTTCTGGTCCTCAGGGGGCTTGTGAGCAGCAGGCCTGTCTCCCCTGTGCAGCTGGGAAGCTGGACCAGCCTCCACCTCCCCGACCTCCTAGGACTCGCCCTGCCTTCTTCAGCCTGGCTCCTGCTCCCGGGCTCCAGTGTCTTATGCCACCAGTGCCGTCTCCTGCCTGCCACACCCCGTCCTTTGTGACCGTCTCCTCCTGGATCTCTAGGGCGTTTGCTAGTCCCTGGTGTACCCTCTCAGCTGCTCTGTGCCACCTGACCATCAGCAGGGCCTGTCTTGATCAGCCGGAGTCCTGGCACCCCAGGACCTGCAGGCCCACCCTCAAATGAAGGCTCTCTGTGCTCCAGCACCTCCACACCAAAGGCAGTGGCCACTGGCTGGCTGTTGCTTGGGGCAGTGAGCTCAGGCTGCCTGGCTTCTGCCTGTGGCTGGAGAGGTCAGAGCAGGGGCGACGGCAGAGGCAGGCCATCTTGCAGGCCCTTCCCACTGCTGTCCTCCACCTGCCCTGAGCCAGGAGCGGAGACACGTGCTACCCTCTGGCTTTTGTGGGGTGTATTCATGTCCCAGTTCTTCTGGGAGACCTGAAGAAGGACATGGGGAGGTTGGGGTCTTCTCTTATAGGTGATGTGAGATATGGGGTTGGCCTCAGTGGGCTGGAGTGAGGACCCCTCCTTGCCCTTTCTGAGATGCCTTTCAAGGTGTCACCCGGCTGTCTAGCACAGTGGCAGTGGATGCAGCTTAGAAGTCACAGGGGTCTGGTGTGAGCTGGGCTAGTCACAGACCAGTGTGCTGTTGACCGGGTTGTGTATGGTGTCCTTCTCCGTCTGTCTGTGTACACAGGGCCAGGACGATGCTTCCTGCTGAGCATTGTAGGATGCTGGAGGGAGGTGTGGCAGGGCCCAGCTGGGTTGAGCCCCCTCTGTGAAGGGCAGGTGTCACTGTTGAATCTGAGGAATGAATACTGGTGACCCTGGTAGTGGCAGGGTGCCCATGTGGCCATGAGCTTATCTGACTGACACTTGGTACTATGTGTCCTCTCACTGAGGTGCACAGTGGCTGTTGCTGTTGTTCCCATGATGACAGAGAAGCAGCAGCTCCGGGGACAGTCCCACCTCCCACCGGGGCACCAGGGGCACCAGGGCAGGTCCTGGGCCAAGGCCTGGCAGGAGCCAGGCTTCTCCCTAACCGCCATGGCCGTGGCTGGTTTGCCCAGACAGCCCCATGAGAGCGCTGAGCAGCTTTTGGACGTGCTGCCTCCCGGACCTGCAGACTCACCCCCGACTTTTCCTGCGGTGCCTCCTTGTTTGTTTGCTTTTGTTTGGAGGAAGAAACCCACTTCCCCTCTGCTGCCATCTGTACCAAGCCCCCATGTGGGTGGAAACAACCCAGCGGGCGAGGCGGAGGTTCACAGTTGGGTTGTAGCCTGAGGCTCGTCGTGGACTTATTTGCTCCCTGCTCTGGTCCCTGCCCCCTTCACTGCTGGGCAGAAGAGGCACCGCTGCATTTGAGGAGTGGGGGCCATCCAGGTGGTTCTCCTGTGGTGGCCATGCTTGCTTATTCAGGCTGTGCTCTGTGAGCGCTGCACGGGGAGGGGCTCTGCCCTGCAGACCAAGTGCCCTAGGCCCCGTCTCCTGCTCCAGGCTCTGAGGCTGCCTGTTCCGTACCAGGCAAGGAAGGCTCAAGTCCCTGCTCCCGCCTCTGTCTCGCAGGAGGGGCCTTGGCTCTCCTCCTCTGAGTGGCTGCTGAGCAGACGCGGCGTGTTCCCTGGGTGACTTCCCAGTGCTGGAGTTGGACCCAGCACACTCGTACGGTGACTCGTGGCTCATCAGCCCCTGTGCCACTTCCCTCTGCCAATCACTGCATGCCAAGGGAGCCGGAAACAATGGAATTACCTTTTGATTCTTTCACAGACAGAAAAATTAGCAAGTGGGCCTCACCTTGAGAAAGGTGTGGGGTCCAGTGTGGCATCCGCTTCTGATGGCCCTGTGAACAGGGCAGGAGCCACAGTGTCCGAGAAGAGCTAGAGCAAGGCCCTGAGGCTGTGGGCTCCCGTTCCCGTGGGACAGCCTGCGCCAGGCCTCCCTGGTCTCTCAGATGACGTCTGACCAGAGTCACCTGATTTACAACATAATCTAAAACCTCATTTGAGCACATAAAAAAAAAAAATTCAACTGTTCAAAGGTACACGAAACCATTTACTAGAGCTTTTGGCATAGTTTTAAAAATTTACACATCTAAGATATTTATTTTTTTGTAATTTTGACACATGCAAGAGTTTACAGATAGTATTTTTTAAAAAGCAAATTGTCCCTCAACTCAAATTAAATACAGATCTGTTTGTTTAACCCCTGAAACCTGCCCCCCCCCCAAACACCAAACAACCTAGAGGTCTAGATTTTGCTGGAGAGGTTGGTTCGGAGGCCATCCATCAAGGTACTTTCCAACTCGGAATTCTGTGCAGTCCTGGAACCCAGTATTTTTGGTCTGGTGAAGAGGAAAGTGCAGGGGATTCATGGGACCTGGGTCCACTCAGGACGTTCAGTTGCACTTAGGTATTTCTTGATGCGGGGATGATGCTCCGCAGCCCTCCCAGCCTGACCTGGAGCGAGACCCTGGTTAGTCGGGTTCCGTGGCAGTCAGGTGAGGGCCGGCAGCCTTTCCAGCAGGAGCTGGTAGTGACCCCAGGCTTCAAAGCTGCTTTCTATAGACAGGCCGATGGGCAACCAGGGAAGCAGCCGGTGCACAGCAGCAGCTATGCTGGGGAATGGGGTCAGTGCACACAGCGCAACAGTGAGGATGTGTGTGTTCCCAACACGACAGCACTGCGTTTGATAAGCAGCCACAGAGCCAAAACAGCAGCAGCAAAAGCACAAATGGTCCCCAATGTCAACAGGCCGGATGTCCGGGCAGAGCATCTCTGTGAGGTCTTTAGAGGGCAAATGGAGGCTGGCGCTGGGCCAGTTTGCTGTGCCTGTCGAGGGTCCTGCTACAACAGGAAATGAGTCTACATTGGACTTTGGGATCTTTCTGCTATGAAAAGTATTCATTTTGCCTTTTTCTATGTATTTGCTTGACTTACTTAGCAACCTTGAATAAGGAAAGGAAAAAGATAAAACCCTCTGAACTCTGATCTTTTGCTGTTTGTGTAGATTCTGGATGTGAAGTTGGGACTGAGGGTGTTCAGATGCCTATGGTGAGGGCTCGGGTGTGGCGCAGCGGTAGAGCACTTGCCTGCGCCAGACGCTGGATCAGCTCCCAGCACCACCAAAAAAAAAAAACCCTCAAAAACCTTTGGTGAATTTGTACGCCTCAGAACACTGCTACATGCCTGTTCTAACACGATGAGCTTTTAGAAAACTTTGTTACAACATGAATCAGTTTTTTATAATTGTACAGCTACAACTAATTTTGAATGCTACTTATTGATAACTGAATTTTTGTATCCAAAAACATATTCTTGGGAATCTATTTCATATAATATTGTTTTCTTTTGACTAACCTATTTTAGAGAGAGAGTGTCGCTGGTAACTAAACTCTTTCCTCTTCCTCCTGTCACAGTTATCATTCCCCAATAAATGGTAGTGTGATGATCTTAAGAAACTGAGTGTTGTCTCTTATTTGTGTCTGGTTTTCCAGGAATCCCTAGACTCAATGAAGATTGTACAACTATCAGAAAAGACCACACCTTTAACCTGAATTCTTTTTTTTTTAAACATTTATTATATTTTTAGGTGTAGATGGACACCACACAATGCCTTTATGTTTATGTGGTGCGAGGATAGAACCCTGGTCCCGCCCGTGCTAGGCGAGCGCTCTGCCGCTGAGCCACAACCCCAGCCCTTTAACCTGAATTCTGAGTGTGTAGTACACATTGTAGGCACTTAAAAGGCCCCCTCTCCCCAAAATGATATGTAGTCTTCTGTTTCAAGTGATTTGGGGTTTAACTTGGGTCTAAACAGTTTTGAAGGTTTTCAAAGGGTAAGAAAATTTAAGTGTTTATTTTGGAATATTCCTGCATAGGTAACTGGTTTACTTATTCTATATAAAGTAGTTTACCAAATTAATCAGCAGAAAGATGTATGGAGGCACCCCACCTCCGGCACCCCACCAAGTGTGGAGTTGTATTTATGGCCAGAGAAGAGGAAGTGATAACACAAAACCAAGCTTGGTCACACACAGTTGGCATTTGCCTGACGTGGATATGTTCTAATCAGCCGGGAGCCTGTGATTGGTGAGACTCAGTTGCTTGGTTATTTTAATTCAGTTCAGTATTTTTTCTTATTTTCCTGTGATATCGTTGTTGATCCATTGATTACTTAGAAGTATATTTAATTTCTAAACATTTTAAGGACTTTCTTTCCAAGTATCTATTTTAGATTTCCAGGAATCACTAAATCAAATGAAGACTGGACAGTTACCAGGAAAGTGAATTTATTTCACTGTCGTCAGAGACCATCTGTGTGATAGTTGATCTTGATTGGCAGCTTGGAATGAGATGCCCAGGAATCCAGTAAAGCACACTTCTGGGTGTGTCTGAGAGGGCTTACGGAGATGACTGACATGTGGGCCGGCCAACTGGGAGGGCCACCCGTGCTGTCCGACAGACCGGCCCGTGGAGCAGGGTGGAGGAGCCTCAGCTTGGTGAGCTTGGTTCTTCTCAGGTGTGTGGGCTGCTGCCAGGCCGTGACGTCAGCCTCCGCTTCATCCTGGACTCTGGGAGGCTCTCGGGACCACCAGCCGGGGCTGCAGCACTGGAACCTCATTGTTTTGCACTCTGTGGACAGAGTCACAGTGACAGGCGCCTGCCCTCACAGTGGCACGCAGGTCGTTCTGCTCCCCCACCCCTGTGCTCTGCCTCGTCACCCCTCCCTGGCACCACTCATCTTTTACTGCCTCCAGGGTTCTGCGTTTCCAGAATGTCCTTGGTTCGAGGCCTCACGGCGCTCAGCCGTCTCAGACTGGTGCCTTCCACGGGGCGCCCTCTCCCCAGGGCTCCAGACCCACTGAAGTGCTGAGGAACTTCCACTGTGTGCAGTGCCGCAGGGCTCACGTGTCTGCTAGCGGACACTCTGTTACCTCCAGGTGGCCGCAGTTATGAGCAAAGGCACCATAGACACCTGTGAGGGGTCTTGGCGTGGACGTGAGTTTCCAGCTCCTTGGAGCAGATACCTCGGGATGCGCTGTGAGTATCACTGAGAGTTTGTTTGGTTTTGTAGGAATCTGCCCAGCTTTCTTCAAGGTGGCTGAGCCATCCTGCACCCCCACCAGCAATGACTGGCAGCCAGCGTTGCTCCACATCTGTGCTGGCCTTTGGAGGGCTCAGAGTTCTGGATTCTGGCCACCGGAACAGGTGTTAAAGCGCCATCTCATTTTAGGCTGCACTTCCCTGACAGCATGATGTGTAACATCTCTTCCTCTGCCTATTTGCCATCTGCGTCTCTGGTGAGTGACAAAGGCATTACAAGAAAACCATAGACCAATATATCTGGTGAACATAAATGCAAAATCCTCTACAAAATATCAGTGTATTGAATTTAAAGAAAAACGAATTATACTCCATGACTAAGTGGGATTTATTCCAGGTGCGCAAGGCCGGTTCAACATTTGGAAATCAATGAATGTAATCCATCACACATTAGTAGGCTAAAGAAAAACGTCACATGATCATGATGGTGTGGATAGGTGCGGGAAAAGCATTTGACAAAATCCAACACTCATGACAAAACTCTCAGTAAACTGGGAATACAGGGAAACTTGTTAAACTCAGTAAAGATAATAAAAAAAGCTAACATCATACTTAATAGTGAGAATTATTTTTGGGGAGAAAATGAAACCAGCTAAGGAGCTATGCTATGGGAAGGATGGAAATCACACAAAGAAGCAAACCCCGGGCTGGTGCACCAAATCCTTGAGTCCAAGAACAGAACCAGCCCTTAAGATTGAAGGAGGCCCTCATCATTATACAAAATACATGTGTGAACATGTGAATTTGGTGTCAACATACCTTATATAAAATCAGAGATATGGTAAATTATGGTATAATGGTGTATTACGAATTGTAATGCAAAAATAAATAAATAAATAAATAAAAATATTAAAGGAGGCCATTTTATTATTTACTTTTTATTAAAAAAAATTCTTTTTGGTACAGGAGACTGAACCCAGGGGTGCTTAACCACTGAGCAACACTCTCAGCCTATTTTATTTTGAGACAGGGCCTTGCTAAGTTGCTGGGGCTGGCCTTGAACCTGCGATCCTCTGCTTCAGCCTCCTGTGGTCAAGGTTGCTGGGCCAAGGAGGCCGTTTAGACTCTGTTTAGCAGGAAGCAGAGGTGACGTTTGTGACTCTGGGAGGTAACAGATGGGCAGGTCACCACCGTCACTGGCTGGGGGTGCCGAGGCTGACTGCTGACCGGCTGGCCCGTGTCTGTTCCGGGACCCCTCTGTGCTTCCCTGTGGCCAGCGAGGGTCATCACACACGGCAGTGGTCCACCCTTCAGCCGACACGGCTGTGTCTTGGTCGTGTGGCCTCTGCCTCCGTCTCCTTCCTGTGCCTGGTGGCCCCTCCTGTCGGGCTTTCTTGCCCTGTGGTCTCTGCGCGATGGCTTCGGCTGCCCGCATGTCTCCTGTTCACCAGGTTCCCTCTGCTGAGCCCCTGGATTCAGAGTGAGCCTCGAGCTCAGGAGGCCTTCCCTGACCCCAGCCCGTGGTTCCCAGCCATCCTGTGTTCCCTGGACGTGGGCTGTGTCTGCCTCTGCTGGCTACGCTGTCCCCGGCACTGCATGCGTGTACCAACCCACGGAGGGGAGAGACCTGGGCGCTCTGGTCCTTCGGGGGCTTTGGGTGGACACGCACTCTTCCTTTCTCCTGTTGCCCCTCTGCACTCGAGGTCAGCACATCCGTGTCCCCTGGTTAGTACAAGAGGCTACGGTGGCAGTATGAAGGGTGGGGACAGCGTGGAGGGTCAGCTGTATGTGTCATCCTCATCACAGAGACTACGTGGGGACTTAGAAAGATGGCATCACAGACTTCTGGAGCAGAAGTCACTTCCGTGTGGTGTTTCTGGTAACAGATGTCAGCTCTCGGGGGCTCTGATGGTCAGGTTGCCAGGGGCTCTCAAAGATCTAACCTTTCAGACCTGGGTGGGGAGGAGCGGCTGGCATGGGAGGGTATCGCAAAAGGCTCTTACGGCATCGTGTTGGAACTGACCCAGACACTAATGAAAGAATAATCCTCCCCAAATCACCCCAAAGCTAGTAATCCCCAGGCTGCGTGTTGGTGATTAAAAAAGAAAGGTAAGAGCAGCTGTCTTTTTGTCCAGTTTAATTATGTCCAGGTCCCTGGGCGAGGGCTAATTTCCTGGTGGCCCTGGCCGTGGGTGGAGAACGGTGTTAGGTTTCTGCGTCTGCGGGGACTGAATGTGCAGACGTGGATTGTGCCCTGCAGAAGCCTCAAGACCTAGGGACAGTCCCGGGGAGCTCAAGCAGGTGAGCTCAGGTTGCGTGGCTTTTAATTTCTGCCCTCTGAGCTGGAGACATGGGTCTCTGTGTGCCAGAGGACACGGCAGTGCTATCAGGTGTCAGCCAGGCCACACACCTTAATTAACAGCTCATCACCCTCTGCCTCCCCTGCCTCCGAAGCCGAGCAGCCACGGGCTGTGAGATGGACGTCAGGTTGTCAGGGGGAAGGGGAGCACTTAGCCCCTCACCCCTCCCGCAGGGTTCAAGGTCACCGAACTGGCACCTCTCGGTTCAGATATCCAGCTGTGTCCCAGGAGTTCTGGAGGCAGGCTGTGAGGTCTGTGAACTGGACTGTCCTCTGCATCAGTGCCCTGCCCATGGTGAGCGCTCACTGCTCCTGATGTGGAGAATGTCCTGTCCTTGGCCCAGTTGTCCAGCTGGGTGTCTGAGCAGTCATCCTGGGTGACCACTTCCATGGAGACGACGTTGGGGCAGCTCTCACATCTGCCAAGCCCTTTCCGGCATCGTGCCCGCGGGTCCTCAGCCATCTCGAGGCTCCTGCAGCGGCCTCCCGGCCTCCCTCCTTTCCCTGCAGCTCCCTGCTGCCCAGGAGGCCCTTTGATGGTGCAGACCTGGTTGGGCCGGCTGCTTGGTCAGATCATCCAGTGGTCTGGGCACCTCCTGGCTGGCCGTCCATCTCTGATCCTCCAGGCTCCCTTCCCATTGCTTCATCAGCGTCTCGGACCTCTTCTCGCTTTCCTAGGTTCACCTTCTCCTGTCTGTGGCGACACGTCCTTAAGGCCACCTTTAACACGCTAGTTGCGTTTCTCTGCTGTAACTGTCACAATGTCAAATGCTGTTAGCCATAAGCCAGCTGCCGCTGTGTCCCTGTCGCCTCTCGGGCTCAGCTTGCTGTCATCTGAACACTCAGGGCCTCTCTGCCCTGGGCCTTTTCTCCCCCAAGTGAGCCAGGTGATGGGTCTCCCTGCTTCCAGCTCAGCACCAGGTCTCCAGCTCTGACGGCCCTGCCCTGCTGGCGTGTGGGCTTCCTGGTCACCTCCTGAGCTGGCTCCGCTCCTAGAGTGACCTTGAGCTCTGCTGGAAGGGCCCCGCCCCGGGCCAGGAGTCCCCTTTGTG